TGCCTGGCCCAGCCACTTCCCTCTTTGCCAGATGCCTGGACTGTGGTGGCCCCTCCTGAGTTCCACCTATTGCCATCCCTGCTCTGCCCTTTTCCCAAGGCCCCAACAGCCTGCCGCAACCTGGCTGAGTCCCTCCTCTCCTCCACTCTACTCTCCTCCTCCAGAGGTCCCCACTGACAGCCACTTGCTGCATCCCCCCTCTCCTCCACCCCTCCAGCCTCCTGCCTGCCATGTCCCTCCACCTACTCACCCGGACAAGCAGGAGCCTGGGGAGAAGAGGGCTTGCAGAGGAGAGGAGAGAGATAGGGAGTGGCAGGTGGTCTGGGGACCTCATGAAGGGTGGAGGAATGTGGCAGGAAGAAGCAAGCAGGGAGGGGGCAGGGCTGGAGTGGAGTGTGGGTGGGATCATAGGCAGAACAGGGAACTAGCCTTCCCCAGAGGAATCTTCACTGGTGCTTGGGACATTCTTCCCCTGCCACATCTGGTGGGGGCGGAGGGAAACGTGGTGATTTAAAGGCGCTGTGACTTTTTTTTCCCCCTTTGCTCAACAACTTTGGTTCCTGGGTTGTGGGATTCTTTTTGTTGTTGTTGTTGTTGTTGTTCAACCAATTTTTTCCCCTGCCATAGTATTCTTGGTAAAACTATCTGGCAAGCCACCCATGGCAATGGGGATTGGGAATCAGAACCCCTTGGCAACCCTAGCAGCCAGCATCCCATAAAGGAGTACAAGGACTCAGGGTCCTTGGGATGCTGCTCAGAGATGTGAGGCAACAAGAGAGCAGAAATAGGACCACAGACAGACAGCACAATTGGATGCAGTATCTTTGGTTTATGTGTGACTCTGCTCAGTGGGGTGGGTTACAAACAGCTACTCAGGTGCTACAAACAGCAGGGGGTTATTACAGTAAATTTCTGAGGGCAGGTCTTCTGTAATGCTTCAGTGAACACATTATGCTGGGAAGAGGGGTTCTCCCATTGGCCTAGGAAGCCCACCTTCTCGAGTGGCATTAGCTACATTGATGGGAGAATTCTCCTGTTGGTTTAGGGCTGGCCATACTGAGGTTAAGTCAGTTGAACAGTGTCAGTCAAGAGTGTGGATTTTTCACACTTGGAGTGACATATTTATACTGACCTAATTTCCAGGAGTAGACCTGACTGAAGCAACTGAGAGAGGTACAGCTTCTGGAGGGGTTTGCATAGACTGCCTCAAGCTAGGTTTTCCAGGGACTAGGAGACAAAGGAAAGGGGTTTTGATCTAAAAGGATGAGTTTGAACGGACACCAGGCCTTTGTTCTGAGCCAGTGATTGGCCAGGATTTCTGTCCCAGAGGCCTCCACCCATGCAGAGGGGTTAGAAAGACTTTGGTCTACTTGGGTCCCATGAGGCAACTCCTGGAGTGTTCAGCATGTTTTTAAATCTGTTTATTGGTTTTTTATGTTTTCTCTGTAATGCTTTTACCTTAAGAATAAATGTGCCTGCTTAAAATGAGTTATGAGGGCATTTGTAACTGTGGGCAACAGATTATTCATAGCCTTTTGAGAGAAAGCAAAGCCCAAGGACTGGGATTTTGGCATATCACAGCATGAGACAGGGACTGCTGCAGCCATAAAAAAAATGGTCAGAAGAGAGAGAGAAGCACAGATCTCCAGCCAACAGAAGTGATGGCTGGGAGCTGGAAAAACTTGAGTGCCATTGAGAAACCGTGGAGAGAGCATACAAATCCAGTTAACCTGTAACTGGAGAGGCCCCATAATCAAGCTCCTTCTCGTGGGCTGTAGAGAGTCATTTTGGCCAGTCCCAGGAAAAAAAGAAGCTGTTTATGGGATCTAGAGAGGAAGCAGAAAGGCAGGGCTTCCTGTGCACAGATAGGGTTGCCAGATACTTTCACAAAAAAATCCTGAACATGACAGGAAAAAAATTGGTTGAGCAACAAACAAACAAAAATGGGGAGCCAAAGTTGTTGAAGGAAAAAAAAAGGTCACTGTGCCTTTAAATCCCCACGCTCCCCACTCCCGCCAGAAACGGCTGGGGAAAAAAGTTCCCCCCAGCTCTAAAATGTTCCCACCAGCCTTCCAACTGAGAGAAACAGAAAATACTGGACATTTTACATGTCCAGTAAAAAAAAAACAGAAAATACCAGACAGAGGCCAGAAATAATGGAATGTCCAGGCAAAAACTGGACACCTGGCAATCCTAGACACAGAGCCCACTGAAGGAGCAGACTTGAGGATTTCAAAGCAAGGTAACTACCTTGTTAGTTTCTACTTCATGCAAGGAAACATAACTTGGAGTAAATTCTTCGTGAGCAGATAAGATTACCTACCTCATTTCACTAATTTCTCCTACTACCTATTTGAAATCATGGGATGGTGGGCGGGCAGAGCCCGCCCACCTTCTAAAAGCCCCTCCCCAACCTTATGGGAGGGACACTGGACCCATGTTCAATTGATTGCTTGGGACAAATAATGACTAAAGGATCGAGAAGTGCGGGCTAGAGGTTCAAAATAAGGGAGCCGGATGGGGACACCGAGCAGAGAACCCCGGACAGCGCCCACTGCTCCTCAAAGCTGTCGATGGAGCCAGTGGACGCCGCCCAGAGGAACTCTGCCCGGATTCGTGACACGAGGGAGGAGCGGAAATAGGCCCCACAGTCGCAGAGAACCCCCTCGTCTAGCATCCTCCTCCTGCTGTTGTAGATGGCAACTTTCGCCAAGGCCAGGAGGAGGTTGACGAGGAGGTCTCGCGACTTTGTGGGGCCACGGATTGGGTGTGCATAAATAAAAAGGTGAGGGGAAAAGTGCAGCCAGAACCTCAATAAGAGGTTCTGGGCGCATTCGAGGTAGGCGTGCGCCAGGTTCTCCCTCACGCCGCAAAAGGGGCAGGTGTCTGGGATAGGGGTGAACCGCGCCAAGTACACGCCCGTGCTCACGGCCCTGTGAAGGAGCCGCCAACTGATGTCCCCGACGGGCCGCGGAATTAAGGTCGAATAAACGCTGGCACATCGAGGTACCCCACACTCTATAATGGAAGCAGCCCTACAATGCCCCAGGTAGTGACTAACTGCTTGGGCCAAAAGGGCAAAGCTACATCAAGACTGTGAGGCTCTCAGATTCCATGATAATGGGAGCCATCTAATCATCTAAGACAGGTTTTGCTAGGATAAACATTAACCCTGGACTCTAGGAGTGGCACTCACACTGCAACTGACTATATAATCAGCCAATACAGGGGGAGAGTTAAACATCTGTGGGTTTATGAGCTTAGTTTACGTGCCACTTGTAAGCCGTTCTCATCAGGGACCCTAACTGTTGTTGATATCCTTATCAGATTGTTTCTGGTGTTTCCTGTAAAGGAGTACAGCAGGCCCTTATCACTACCAGGAACTAAAGCGGATTTAGTTAATCATTGATTGGCCCCAGCCTAGGGAGTTCTTCCCCCTTATCTCTGATACTCTCAGACACAAATTAAATGCCATCGCTACCTGGGTGGCTCTCACAGGTGCTGCTCTGGCTCCTTTTAACCACCTGAAATCTTGCTCTGTCTTTCTGACATCTCCTCATGGATGTAGGGTTGCCAGATGGTTGAAACAAAAATCCTGAACACCCCCCTCCCCACCTCCACCCCCCTCCACCCCAAAAAAACCCAGGAAAAAATTCTATTGAAGGGGGAAAAAAAGAGGGGGAGACCAAAGTTGTTGAGCAAAAAAAATGTTTTTTTAACAAAACAGCATTAAAATAGCATGTCCCCTTTAAGTGCAGGGATAGGAACAGGGGGGTAGTTGAGCACTAAGACCAAGGGAAAGCATTGCTTCCCCTAGGTCTTTTGGCCAGCAGTCATTTTGTGCTGGCAGCCTTGGGGAACCAGGTAAGCATGGGGGCTGGGAGTGTTGGAGGCCAGAGGGGGATTCGGGGGGAGGCTGGGCGCTGAGTGTTTGTAGGATTGCCAGGTGCCCAGCATTTTTGCCTCCTGGCTGGGGAAAAATTCAGAAAATACCAGACATCTCAGGTGTCCGGTATTCTCTGAATTTTTTTATCGGACAGGAGCCAAAAATACCGGACTGTCAGGGTGAATACCGGACACCTGGCAACCCTACATGGATGTCCAGCGGACAATTCAAACTCAACATGACTAAAATAGAGCTCCTCATCTTCCTCCCCTAGCCCAGGGTTGCCAACCGTCAGTAAATTTACAGACAGGCTGTAAAAAATTAGCCAAAATTGGACATGTCCATAAAGTCTGTTTAAAAAAAAAAAAAAAAGTAGCTGTCCGTAAATTTTGTAAAAGTGCAATAACATTTTAAAAAACGGCAATTATTCTATATCAATTAAATTTCTTCTGTGCTGCTTCAGCCATTTTACTGTGGAGCAGAGGAAATTAGATGTTTTAGTTGTTTATTTAGCTCAATGGTGGAGGTGACAATGTGAATCACGTGATCCACGTGATGTTATCATTTATATTATCCCACTGAGTCAGCATATTGGGAATTTATGTAATTTAATATTGTTTACCATTAAAAATTATGTCTGTAAAAAAATGTGTCTGTCCGTAAATGTTTCCCATTTTGTCCATAATGAAAATTCTGTGGGTTGGCAACCCTATCCCAACCCTCCCTGTTTACCTTCCTTTTTGAGCATTGTGGACAATACCACCGTCTTGCCCGTCGCTTAGGCCTGTAACTTGGACATCATGTTCAACTTGGACTACTTTCTAAGACCCACTCTCTGGATAACTCTTGCACGCTCTCCCTGCAAAACATCTCTTAGGCACCACCCTTCTGAAGCTCTCATCCAGGCTCTTATCCCATGTCTTAATTACTGCAATCTCTCTCTCTCTCTCTCTCTCTCTCACTGACATGAAATCTTGCCCCACTCATACTCATTCAGAAAACTGCAGCTGCAAAGATCATTTTCCTAGCCCACCACCAAGTCTCTTCTCTCTTTGCATCCTTTCACTGCCCTCCTAATCTCTACCCTACCAAACATAAACATTGCCTTCACTTTGAAGGCCCTTCCTGACCTAACCCCACTTGACTTGTCATCTCTCATTCAGTACTGAACTTCCCAGAGGGGTAGCCGTGTTAGTCTGTAACTGTAAAAACAATGAGCAGTCCAGTGGCATCTAAGGGCATGTCTACACTGGGGAGTTATTTCGAAATAACTCCCCTTGTTTTGAAATAACAAGGTGAGTGTCCACACCACCAATCCTGGTATTTTGAAATAATGGGCTTGTTATTTTGAAATAATAACTCCTGCTTCTGAAGAGGAATAAGCTTATTTTGAAATATTTATTTCATGAATTATTATTTTGAAATAACCTGGTAGTGTAGACATAGACTTAGAGACTA